GAGGGCCCACCTGAGGCAGTTGGAAAACCCTGATTCCAAACCATTGGTGCACATAGGCTCCAGGATGCTTAAGGAGCGAATGGTGTATGAACCAATCGTTGGTCACCGGCTACCATGGGACTGCATCTCCTTACGATGCTCTACTGCCTTGTGGATCAGACCTTTAGGTCGAACGCTCCGAGTGTGGCCCTTTAAGAAAACCGCCTGTTTCGGTTTCGGGATCTGGGCAGTATCATAGCCCTCACACAATTAAATGAAATGACAATTTTTCGTGTGGCACATATATATCTGGTGCTTCATTGTACCAATATTTGTGTTCAAATAAATAAATAAGACAAAGAGTGCACACACCTACGCCGTTGTGATCGATCCCAAACCATGTCACAGTCTCCAACCATTCGTTACAATAGTCACGCAGACACCAACCAAGTAGTCTGCATCCACCGGCATGGCTCAGACTAGAAGTTAGTGACTTTATAGGCTGGTACCATGTTTTGGTTTGGCCGTCCCTAACTTTCTTCCAACCGTCTCCAACACTAGTCAGCATTGCGCGTCGTGGTAATCAGTGTTCAGGCATACGTATTTATTTTTATTTATTTAAACACATAAATATTAGTACAAGGAAGCACCAGATACATATGCGCCATACAAATCTCATTCGATTTGCTTGAGGGCTGTGATACTGCCCAGGTGCCCGAACTGAAGCAGGTGGTTTTCTTAGGGGCCCACACCCGGAGCCTCTGACCGAAAGATCTGATCCACAAGGCAGTAGAGCATCGTGAGGAGATGCAGTCCCATGGTAGTCGGTGACCAACGATTGATTCATACGCCATTTGTTTCTTCGGGATACTGGAGCCCATGTGCACCATTGGTTTGGAATCAGGGTTCTCCAACTTCCCTAGGTGGACTCGCCTTGTCCACCAACCCGGTTAAAGCGCCGGACATTCGCTTTTTGTCCTCTCACTTTCGTAAACAACACCCCCACAACGAGAAGGCAGTGAGTAGGACTTCCCTGGCAGAGGCTATATATTTGCATGGCCATGTGAGAGCATTTCGAGAGGGAGAGCGGACTCTCCCCACTCTCGGCCGTACCAGGGCATTTGGGGGCATACGTAACACCTGACCCGACCATCTCAGTCGATGAAGATTCATGACCTCATCAACTGACGCCGATAAACATACTTCTGCTCTAAAACCTGACGAATAGTGAATATGTGGTCGATGCAGCCAGGTCTGAAGCCAGCGTGATTTTCTCGTGTTTGCAGTTCACGGGTCTTAGTTAGGTGCCCGATAATTATTAAGGCTGATACTTTAGATGTTATATTAGTGAAAATAATCCCTCTGGTTATTACAGGGTGATTTTGACCCCTTCTGATATATTGGTTAGTCAGTCAGTCAGCTACAACATAGGACCAGGCACATATATGCATCAGTCCAAGTTGCCATACCTCGTTAGCACAACAAGATGAACACCGGATTCATAGAAGTAGTTAATTTAGTGGTGGTAATATATAAGAGAAAGGTTGTATATAAGGATATAGTATAGGAAGGCAGATATGATGCAATTTTAATCTCAAGGTTTAAGGGAAGATAAAGAGTGTATACACCTGCGCCATTGTGATCGATTCTGAGCCATGTCACACAGTCTCCAACCATTGGTTACGATAGTCACGCGGACAATCAATGATTGCGACCAGTCAGATGGGATTACATCCAAATCCCAGATGTTAGCTAAAACATTAGTCAACTTAATTGCTAAAACTGGACCATCATACTTAAAGACCACTGGAGCCAATCCATCTGGACCAGCTACTCTTCTTCGTTTCAGATTAGCTATGGCCTTTTGAACTTTAATTAGAGTCGGGGGACCTACTTCAGTGTTTCATTCAGGCTGTTGGGGAATGGTGACTAGTTGTAGAGTAGCTGAAGACCAGCTGATTTATTTATTTAAACACATAAGCATTGGTACAAGGAGGCACCAAACATATATGAGCCACATAAACTATTCGATTTGTGTAGGGGCTGTGATACTGCCCGGGTCCCGAAACCGAAACAGGCGGTTTTCTTAAAGGGCCACACTCGGAGCGTTCGACCTAAAGGTCTGATCCACAAGGCAGTAGAGCATCGTAAGGAGATGCAGTCCCATGGTAGCCGGTGACCAACGATTGGTTCATACACCATTCGCTCCTTAAGCATCCTGGAGCCTATGTGCACCAATGGTTTGGAATCAGGGTTTTCCAACTGCCTCAGGTGGGCCCTCCGTGTCCACCGACCCGGTTAAAGCGTCAGACATTTGCTTTCCGTTTTCTCAATTTTGTGAGCAATACCCCCGCCGCGAGAAGGCAATGAGTAGGACTTCCCTGGCAGAGGCTGTATACGCGTGGCCGTGTGAGTGCATTTCGAGAGAGACGGCTGCCCAGAGACTTCCACGTCGTGCATTATTTGCCGACCCTGGGACTGGTTGGAAATAGCGGAGAGGAGGTCAGTGTATGACATGGTGTCGTGGCATGAAAGAGAGCTGCAAAGGGCTAGCTTCTGTTGGTCCTTCACGACTCCTTGGTTGGGGTCCGAGAGATGGTGCAACACAGTGGCTAGAGACGTTATCAGATATGGCTCAGAATCGAAGCCAGTGGCGATCCTGCTGCAACCTTCTTTTACTTTCTACATAAAGTATGGTTCTTACTTTCCTATTTGAAAGAGTCTTCTGGTTGTACATTTCAGTCCGCCTTATCTTTTCATCCCTTCTCTTCCTACTTTCATTATTTTGTGTGGCGCATATGTACCTGGTGCCCTTTTGTACCAATATATATGTGTTTAAATAAATAAATAAATAATAATAATAAATAGAGAGACGGCTGGCCCTCCGTACTCTCGGCCGTTCCAGGGCATTTGGGGGCTTGTCTTTTCTTAAACCGTGATAATAAAATTGCTTCATAACTTTCTTTCTACGAACTAGTTATTTCTCCCTGTAGTATATCCTTATACACAATCTTTCTTTTATATATTACTACCATTGAAATAACTTCCTTGAATTTGGTGTTCATCTTGTTGTGCCAATGAGGTACTACGACTTTGACTGATGCATATATGTATCTGCATTGTAGCTGACTGGCAGCATTATACACAGCCACACCATCAGTAGCTTATTGCGATTTGATCATTTTGACTCTAGTTTGAATTGCAAACAGAGAACCCCGGGTGTGGTGTTTGCTACTGATGATTTGTTTGATATTCTTTCTTTGCTGCTTGAGATTTATTTCGTGCGTTAAAACAGACTTATTGGTGAGTTATTAAACAGAATATGGGGCTGTCATGCATCGAAACTACCGGTCAACTTTAGGGTTCTGTTTACGGAGTAAGATAATAAGTGACTTAGTACTGAGTACCTTTTATACCAAGTTTTTCTCGTATCCAGGATATACTGTGACCACACGCTACACTTTTTCACTTTTATCTCGTTTTTAGTGAGCTAACAACCATAATACTCTTGCTAAAGATCTTATTTCACTAACGTGATATAAATTAATAACCTCTGCTACCAAACTCCAGTCATATTACTTATGCAACATGAGTAAAAGCACTACCCCATCTGAAGAATTTGGATATCCACATCTACCTGTGCGTCAAAAATCAGACCAAGAAACTATTAGTCAGTGCATCAAAACTCTAAAAAGTCGCAGACCAAATACTTTGGATTTTTCACCTTTAGCTCTTGGAAATCGTGACAGAAACAACAAAACATATGCCAAACGACCAACTGTTTTATCTGTTCATGATTCTTTCCAGACAGCTGTTTGCAGTACGAGCGCTTACTCTTCATCGACTATTCCAGCTTGTCCAACCAAAAGACCTAATTTTTTGCCAATACCTTCACAAGGAAGTAAATATCCAAGTTTTCCAAAACCTAGTGACGGACTCATATCAGGAAATGGCAAGAGGATCGTATCTACAGTTAAAGCCTCTTCTCCTTTAAATACTAGAAGCGTTCATATTATACATCCAGATTCTATGGAATTGTTTATTAAGAAAAGTAGGTGAATTTCCTGTCACTGCTTTAGTATCGTTTTTTTAAGATATTGACTTATTTCGCACAGCAGCTAACCAAATATTTACCTAATTAATCGTGACAAGCTATATGTTTGTAAGAGTTAAATATGGATTCATTTCTGTAGATAAGTCTTCCAGAATTTATTGATCTGAGTCTGTACTTATATGGGAAAAGCTATATATATTCTAGCCTCCCAGTTTTAGTTGAGTTACGTGGTTTTTCAGTACTGAGTTTCCTTTGATAAATCCGTAGATTGGTTTGATCTATAATATGAATATGAACATAGTAAAACACTTGTCTCACCCAACTGCTTTTAGGTTACTTGTTTGAAGTTTTATCGCTCTCCGTTGTGGATCAGAATCACATTGCATTTCAGTATTGTGCTAAGCATTTCAGCTGTTAAATCTAGCTAGTTCAGGACTATCTATCCAAGACTTCAATTAGTTTTGGTGTGTATGTTACTGTACATCCGAAAAAGATGACGGAGGTTTATTGCTCGGGTGAATGATTTTTATGTAGTTTCGTTCTCTGAACTGAATGGTTTAATTGTGTTTTGTTTCCCTCCTACTCGAAATTTCAACATTTTTCCAGCAGCACGTTCGTCCATGTGAATCAATGTGAGCGAATATACACCATACAGTTTGACAGCTAATTAGTGTCCATTCTTGTAACATGAAAGAAAATCTTTTTCTAAAATGCATGAATGTGAATTTTATTGCCTGTTCTTGGAGTGTGCGTAATATATGTTTAAAAAAGTTACTTGATATGATGCGTGTTCTATCACTGCGATTCACGTGTATTATTTGCTTACCATCCCACAAATCTTAAATGTAACATTGTTCCCCAAGAATTTATGTTCCTATAGGTTCTACCATGCCAAGCAGGTCGATTGGAGAACGGTAAGACTAAAAACAGCAACTTAAGGTCTGAGGGCAAAGTCGAACTACTGATCTGTAGACGGGTGTGACAGCAGTAAGGTGTTTCCCTCGAACAACAAGCATCTACAGCGATGCCGCCTTCTCAAAAGGAAGGAAGGGATTAGAAAAGATCGACCCTAAAAATGTCACGCCTCACATTACCTCACGGATTTCCGCCTCTGGCGGTAAGGCCCTTTGAAGAAAGGAGCTAACACGTCAAAAACTTCCTACAAAAAGGCCGTGCGTGACCGGCCTCAATCAGTTGTCCCCTGGGCTCTGTGGTCACGTTCCAGGGTCGTTAAGACCAACACTAATCCAACTTCTTTTTCAGGTCTCTCAAGAAATACCCTTCCACGGTGTGGGTAGCCGGGAAGTGTTATCGACCCTCATACTCGCAACAACACACGATACCAAGTTGGTCACAATCAAATCCTTCCTACACCTCCTAATAATTCTCTTATCTCCACGACTAACCCTTCTCACGTCCCTTTATCACCTCTCACCGCTAGAGCAAACGATTCGAGTACACGGAACGTTATTTTTGGTCTCCTGAAAGCACACTCTAAACTACATGTAGGAACTTTTAACGTACGAATACAGTGCCAATTAGGACAACAGGCTTCCTTAGCTAGAACTTTAGAATCTCGCACCATCGATGTGTGCTGCGTCTCCGAAACGCGCATACAGGATCCGAGTAGCGTTATTCATTTGACCTCATCATGTCAAAATAAAGAACCAACTTGATTCACACTTCGTGTATCTGAAAGCCATGATTCTGCTTCCCGTGGCCGCGCTGGCGTAGCTATAGCATTGAGTTCTAGGGCAGAACTAGCTCTTTTGGACTGAGTCTCAGTAAACAGTCGTTTGTGTGCTGTTCGACTAAACGGAACAGTAAGGACTCGGAAAGATAGGGACACTCGTCGTTGCCTCTTCGTCGTCTCTGCCTACTATCCCATTGACTGCCGCTCAGATGATGTGAAAGATGAGTTTTACAGAAACCTTTCCGACCTTCACCGAAAAGCTAGGCTCCCTGATGTAGTAATAGTGGCTGGCGACTTCAATGCTCAAGTAGGTAAAGTAAGCGACGGGGAAAAACACCTTGGTGTCATGGCTCAAAGAACAGATAATGGCGATGGTCTATTGCAACTATGCTCAGATAACCAACTGTTTCTTGCAAATACTAACTTAAAGCACAAAACATAGCGAACCCCGAATTCGTCCCAACGTTGGACCCAACTAGATCACATCGCCATCAGCCACGGATGGAGGGGCTCGAGAGGAAACTGTCGCTCATTTTGGAACACATGCATAGATTCAGAGACTGCTCTAGTGTGAGTACATATCTGTCTGCGTCATACTGGACGTAGGAAAGACACTGAAAAGAAACCTCTTAGCGTTCTACTTAATGATAGCCAAGCTAAAAATATATTTCAGAAACTAGAAAAACAGTTAGGCAGCCATGTAAGTTGTGCCCACCTTGAGGCAGCTTGGAATGAATTACGTATAGCTGTGGAAACAGCAGTGATATCTGCTAATACGGTAAACCATAAGGTTAGAGAGAAACACTGGATTACAGAAGCATCTACCGCACTGATAGATGCTCGAAAACTCATCCCATCTGGCTCTGAACATAACGCAAAGCGGAGTCAGCTTAAGCGCAGGCTAATAAGGGGCCTACGCAATGATCGCGGACAGTAATGGGTAGCGAAAGCAAAAGAGATGGAAAAGGCAGCGGCAATAGGTAACAACAGAGTGAATATCAATATCAACACCTGATTCTTGTTTAATTTTGTCATTGACATGCTTTTAGAGATAACACTTTCATCATCTCAATCTCCAGGAGTTGAACTTTTACCGGGAGGCTCACTTGTTGACTTAGAATACGCCGACGACATAATTTTATTTGGTGAAGACGCTGACAAAATGCAGAGTCTTCTGACCACTATAAGCAACTATGCAGGCATGTTCGGGATGCGATTCTGCCCCTCGAAGTGTAAAATGTTACTTCAGGATTGGGTTGCATTGGCACCTGAACTAATGATAGGGAGTGAAGTAGTTGGACGTGTTGACTGCTTCACTTATCTTGAGAGTCTCATCAGCCCTTGTGGTCTGGTGTGTGACGAAATCTCAGCACGGATACAGAAGACTCGTCTAGCTTTCGCCAACTTGCATCATTTATGACTTGGGCGAGATGTTCATCTACCAACCAAAGGACGGGTTTACTGCGCAACAGTTCGTTCCGTCCTACTTTATGGCAGTGAAACATGACCGATAAGAGTAGAGCATATTTGTAGACTGCTAGTATTCGATCATAGGTGTCTTCGAAGCATTGCTCGTATATCCTGGGGCCACCGAGTAAGTAATGTAGTTGTTAAGAAACGGGTACTAGGTAAGGATGGCAAATCGATTGATGAAGTAGTGAAACTTCAGTTGAGCTGGCTGGGACACGTGTTACATATGCCCAACCACCGACTGCCCCGACGTGCGATGTTTTATGGCGTAAGAGTAGGTTGGAAGAAAGCTAGGGGCGGCAAGACGAAAATGTGGCACAAATCCATGAAGTCACTGACAATTGTACTGAGCCATGTTGGTAGGTGTATCCCAGCTCTCACACAAATTGAATGATTTATGTGACTCATATCTATTTGTTGCTTTCTTGTACCAATGTTTATGTATTTAAATAAACAAATATAATACTGCCCGCGTGCCCAGACCGAAACAGGCGGTTTTCTTAAGGGGCCACACTCGGAGCCTTTGACCCTAAAGGTCTAATCTACAAGGTAGTCGGGCAACTTAGGGAGATGCAGTCCCATGGTAGCCGGTGACCAACGATTGGTTCATACACCATTCGCTCCTTAAGCATCCTGGAGCCTATGTGCACCAATGGTTTGGAATCAGGGTTTTCCAACTGCCTCAGGTGGGCCCTCCGTGTCCACCGACCCGGTTAAAGCGTCAGACATTTGCTTTCCGTTTTCTCAATTTTGTGAGCAATACCCCCGCCGCGAGAAGGCAATGAGTATGACTTCTTTGGCAGTAGTTGTATGCACGTGGCCATATGAGAGCATTTCGAGAGGGAGAGCTGACTTTTCCCACTCTCGGCCGCACCAGGGCATTTGGTGGCATGTCGATGTAAAGGAATTTCAATTTATAAGGTATGGTAAATCTCAAAATACTTATCCAAGAACCTTGGAACTTTGCGCTGATAATTCTCTGTCAGCGACACAATGCAACCGTCAAAGCTGTTGTAGTTCGTCTGGAGCTATCTAGGCAATCTTAAGGAAAAAGCCCTGTTTTAGATAGATGTCTGTGAGATAGACAGTTTGCCAATATTTATACCTAATAGTGTGGAACAGCTAGAAGTTGTTCTTTTTTCCCTAGAAAGTTCATCGTTAACATTTTGTGATCTATGTTTTTTAACACCAACCCTCTTGGTTTACAAAACGGCAAGCCCAAGTAACGTGATCAGACTCTTTTTGAGAATCGACTAGATTTTTCAAGGAATGATGGTAAATTAAATCTATCATCTAAAATTAAGATCTTGTTTTAATGGTATTCATAAGGGGTAAATGTAGCATGTGTGAAGAGTACTAGGCAATTGATAATAGTTATAATAGTAGTAATAATAATAATAAGTCGTATATTCATGATATCCAAGTGAATAGACATTTGGACTTCAGACGTTTCATGACTTTATGTAAATCACTTCTCCAGAGTAAACAACTGAATAATTTTGTTATTTATTTACTTTGAAGAAGTGACTTAGATCAAGTCACAAAACATCCGAATTCCTAATGTCTACTCATTTGAACATCGCAAAAGTATAATTCATTTATGGGTATTAACCTTCTACACAGTTCTCAATTTATTTGAAACTCAAGTTCAATCTTTGTATTGATACCTACTAACTAATCAATCTGTTAAATCTCAATCGTTGGCGCTCTACATTCCGTTGACTTTGGTAAACCCTAGAAAGATTATAATATCAAGATGTACCCATTTGTGTAGCAGGATTTGTAGGGATTCTCGATCTTCATGTTACTAGTCTAGTCTGACAGTATTTTCGTGTTAATTTAATTCTACTTTTTCGTCTTGTAGTATACTTGTGTTTTTAAGTTGCTTCATATGCATTTGCTTGCTTTTGCCACAAAACTAAAGTATAGTGTATACTTTGATTTTCAGATACACATTTGTTAAAATATCATACCTGCCGAACTTCGGTAAGACGTCGACCAAATAAATGTGGCCACATATCTACTAAGAATTTTATAGCATGGTCGCCGAACAATACACAGTTATACAGTGTGTTTTGTTTTGACAAATTTCGTGTCATTCATAGGAGATTACCCTGTCCATATTGTTCTACTTGTAGCCATCATAAAAGGCGTTCATTTAATCATTCATCATATGTCCTTGGTGGCTCTAACTACCTTTCACATTCACAAACGTTTCCTAATTTACTGTCTTTTCGCAGATGTTGTTCTTATAGTTTTACCAAACATATGGATTTTACTTTTTCGGATATTCTAACTAGTTCCATTCGCCTGTGTCCAAGATACTGTAGAAGAATCAATAACTGTAAGTTACACTAATCATATATATTTACGTTAAGGACAATGAATATCATTCTGAACACTAAGTTGTCAGATGTATTCACACTTGTACGCTAATGAGGATATTATGGTATTGAATAGCATGTTAAGAAATATCTTAGTGATAAAAGTACTTGATTCTATAAATTGGAAACCCACTGATTGATTTCGTCTGAGCTGTTTGGGTGCCAGTCTTTCCCTGTGTACTGGATTAAATGAGTTATTTGAAAAATTTGTTTCCCTTATTTAAGGAGATGTAGAATGATTCTTTTGTGTAGTTAACTTTGGGTAATGCTAGAAACTTTTTGGCGAGCATAGTCTGCAAATTTTTCTGCCTATATTTCGATCTGGAAAATTCAACTAATTCGTATTCACGGTAATATCAACTGACTCAGAGCATATGGTAAAGGGGTTCTTTGCCGGTCATTTAAGGTATTCATAGAGGAGAAAAAAATCTTTTAATCAGTGTTTATTGACAAGTAATCGGAAATCATGTCAGCATATCACAATTCGTCTGACTTTAAATGTACTGACAATTGTATGTGCTGCTTAAACTTTTTGTCCGTGTTTTTATTTTAAACCTAGCCTAAATTCACAAAATAATGAGCTCCATAACCACTATAGTAAAATTAAAAGAATTCTCTGATATTCTTTGTGTGTTCCATCATACACAATACAATTGGATTTACTGTTTACACAAATAAGCCTAGTCTTTATGGTCATTGTTATATTTGTTTTGCTAATGAACGACCCAGCTACTCCTATTACTTGGTATTCTTATACAATGACACTCGACAAGACCCCGAAATCAGAACACGTTGAACAGGAACGAAATCGTATTCAAATAACAAGGGTAGGTAAACAGCGATCAATGGTTAGAAAAACGCTCATATATTTATAGTATATGCATAAAAGAGAATTTTGAGAATTCTATATTGTACCAGATTATAATATTGAATAAAGCCATTAATAATAATAATAATAATAATAATAATAATAATAATAATAATAATAATAATAATACTAAGCCTCTAGATGCTGATTGGTTTAGAATTAGCCAATCAGTGTGCGCCGTCACGATCATGCACAAACGTGCCTTAATCCGGTTTATTTCCCGCTAACAGTCATATTCACCAGTGAATAGATATTTGAGTGCTTGATACCGTTTTATTATTCCGAAAATGATTTTCATTACCGGATAAAAGTCGAGTAATAAACCTCTAATAATCAGAATACAATGGCAAGTTGTTTAATTCCAACTTCGGATTTAAACTTTGCATGAATAGCTGTGGTTTGTCAATGTCCATAAAACATCAATTCCACCGTTCGTGTAACTTTTTCACTGCTTATTGTTTAGCTCATCAACTATTTTATTTTGATCAACTGTGATTAAAAATTTAATTATAGTTGTTACTGATATTGGTGTAATCTTATATTGTGTTAGACTATTCTCTGTAATATTTGATTACCCGGTTTAGATTACGTTGTTGTCTACTTTCAAAATTATTCGCAGTCATCTTTTACAGTGCATTGTTGAATGTAGAAATCACTAACAATTTATAGTCTAATGTAAAATAATTTTGTCATCTTAGTTTACTTATATTTTTGCTCCAAACTTTGAAAACTACTATTAATAGTAAACTAGTAACTTTTGCTTTTAACAGCCGTTGGTACTGTAACTTTCGGAAAACCCAGTGAAACAATCGAAGGTCCAGTTTTTGATTCAACAAACTTTCCCGAAGTCTATGACATACCAATCAAATCAAGTCAAAGGCTTGGTGAGCCCACTAGTAAACCGCATATTGAGAAGGTTACGCTACCCACTACTATATTTAACGATAAAAATATGCAGACCATAAATATTAACATTAATGATGCAAATCACGTCTTTCAACAGCGTATCGATCCTTCTCTAGCAAATACTAGCCTTGATGAGAACTGTTCGGATGGAAAACAGTTGCATACTTTCAAAAAACTACAACAAATTCAACCTAACGGAGATATTTGGCCTCCTCTGGTAATCAATTCCCATCCAGGTAGGAAATACTTGTTGTCTTTTTGAAAAATATTTACTTCTATAGATATAAATTCTACTTAGTGATCGTATATATGATATGCTGTCGTGTATAGTTTATATACTTCAGATTATAATACGTAGAAAATCGCGATCCATTAACTCTTAATTGTCATATTTGTTTATAACGATAATTTTATTGAGTAGTGTATGTCTAATACTCGTTAAAAACTCACAACGGTTTTCATATTACTTTAAATGTATACAGTTTCACGGAATATTCATAATCACATCTGTCATGTTTAGGATTTTTATCTGTAAATCTATGAAGAATTTATTCTTGTATATAGTAAATACAAGCATAAGTTTTTACTACCATCCATTTCACAATAGGGAGAGTGTAATACTCAAATCATGTGGCAGAGTATTCATATGAGAAAAATGAGGCCACGGTAATTTTTGTACTGTTCATGTGAAGAACGGGAAACAGGGAATTTAGTATTTAGACATTAGTTAGTACAATTCTGAACTGTATCTCATAATATTGTCAGCATTTTAATTGCAAAGGGTAAAATAATTTCTGACTATCTAAATTGACTAAGTTCTTTCTATCCTCAACCGCGCTCGCCATTAGCTATCAAACAACAAGGGTCTTTATTCCCCCACTCCTATCGATCTATAACCGATTGACTCATTCTTTCAATCAACGTAATCAAGCAAGTGGATAGCGCCATGGATTGATGTCATATTTAAATCTAATGGTTACTAATCAATGACCTGATGTACTTGACAGAGTAAAACATCTCCCGTTAACACTTTCTGTTTCCTTTTTACCTTCTAAATACTTCAGTCAATGTCCAGAAAAACTTAATCAGAACGCATTTATTTCCCTTAGTAACTCAGTCCAACAGCTGTCTTTTAGTGGATTAGTACTATATCCTGTTCTAATTTTAGGATTTACATTAGCAGTTTCATTTAGAGCCCACGTAGTTTTGTTGAAGTATTTGACCTTAATTTTAGATGTAGTTACTTAGTTCTCTGACACAAAATTCATTCCAATTGTTATTAGCCACTGGTCTTCGCTTTTTGGCGTGTTAGTGTGATATGTTAGCAATCGGCAGTTGACATGAACGGTGTTATAATTAAAACACTTGTACACTGCTAAAACTGTTTCTAAGTATTGTAGTTGTTTGATTTCACACTTAAAAAATACTTAACTTTTCCTTGATCTAACCCATGGTTACTTACGTCTGTCGCCTCTCGCTGAGGAGCATAGGTCGCCCACAAACACTCTCCATCCAACCCTATCTTGGGCAGTTCTTTCCAGTTGTTATCCATCCTTTTCATATCTGCTGTAGGATTTAATTTGTCCTACAGATAAACTACTAGAACTGTAAACGCGATACTGGCGATCCCAGAGTCTATTTGAAAGCTATAGTCAGAACAAGGACAACTTGACTTTAAACTTTATCTGTTTCCAAACATAAAAACAATTAGATTAGTACAATAATTAAAGAATTACAGTCATTAAGTGACACGCAAACATATCCACCAGTATTTCGTCTTATCGAAATGAATAAAATTTATGAGTCATATTAATATAATAGGATAATAATGTCTTTCAATCGGTAGGTCACATGCAAGATGGATGGCTTACAGACACATCAGACCAGATTGATGGGGTGGTGGGAGCTTAAGCAACGATTCGATTGGTTAGTTATGGACATAACTAACATCTGCTTCAACTTTTCGGCGATATGATTCCAAGTCAGGGCTTGCCTCGTGATGCAGTTTGGCGATTCCCTCAATGTATGTCTTATCCACTTCCAACGTCTTTCCCTAATTTCCTCTTCAGCTCGCAGCTGGTTTGTCCTCTTCCACAATACGCTGTTGCTGACGATATTCCGTGCTTCTCCTCAGATGTCGAGGTCTCCATAATCCAGTCAATCACCAGAAGAAAGAGGAAGGTGGAGAGTAGACAGCCTTGTCTGACTCCTGTCCTTACTGAAAATGCATCTGTCGGCTGTCCTCCATGCACGACTCTGCACTGTAGTCTATCGTATGAGTTCCGGATGTGATATGTCTTGTAGGTTGAACGCCTTATTCGGATCCTAAGCTATTCCGATAACCCCAGGAGTAGCACTACTCAGCAACTTGAAGACCAGAGAAAAGACACGGGTATCAGAGAAAACCTTTACTACAAGGATCATCTTTGTACAGAAAATCGTAGGTATTTATAGATGTTTGCTTAAGTTAAATCAACATCCTAACTCAGCCAATCCAATTAACGACATAAATTGCTACTTACCAATGGTAGCATGCCACGTTGGAACTCCAGAATGTTCTGTCGTACTCTGATTGGTTGGGACTCTTTTTGAGCCTCTGGAGGCTCTGTTGGAGTTCGCTGGAAGCCGATTTAACAGGATGATGTTGATAATCTCCTCAGGAACTCTAAGTGTTGAAGATTTTTCCGTAATGTTCTCCTGGACGCACTGTCAAATGCCTTCTCATGGTCAAAGAAGCTGATGTATAGCGACGAATTCCACTCAACCGATTGTTCGATGACGATCCTCACTGTTGCGATTCGGTCTGTGCATGACCGATCCCTATGGAATCCAGTCTGTTGATCTCGAAGTTGAGCGTCTACTGTGTCTTTCATCCGGTTCAGCAGCACTCTGTTGAAAACTTTTCCTTTTACTGACAACAAACTGATGCCCTTGTAGTTCCCACATTTGCTCAGATCTCTTTTCTTTGGTATCTTGATGAGTTATCCTTCTTTCCAGTCCGTTGGCACTAGTTCTTCTCCCTAAATCTTGATTAGAAGGTGAAGCATGTTTGCAGTTACTTGAATGTCTGACTTCAGTGCTTCAGCTAGTATATCGTCAGGTCCTGCCGCTTTCCCGCTCTTGATTTGTCTGATGGCCATCGTGATTTCTTCGGTCGTTGGTGGAGTGACATCTATAGGAACGTTTGTGTGTGCTGCTTCGATGTCCTGTAGATTCAGTGGGGCTGGTTTATTCAGCAGTTCCTCGAAGTATTCTACCCATCTTTTCCTCTGTTCTTGAATCGCTGTGATTGTCTTTCCTTCTTTGACCTTGGCTGGTCTCTCCGGTTTACTATATCTCTCTGCTAGTTTCTTCGTTGTATCATGTAGTTGTTTCATATTCCCTTCTCTTGCAGCTTTTTCTACCGTCGTTGCTAGTTCTCGCATGTATTTCTGCTTGTCGGCTTTAATGCCCTTCACTTGCTTGTGCCTTGACTTTCTCTGCTCGTGTTCGACTGTTATTAATTGCTGTCTTCTTGTTCTTCCTTACTTCATTCCTGTCCAGGGATCCCATAGAGATTCATTCCTTGTGATGATGCTTCTTAGGACCAAGAACCTCCGGACACGTTGAAGTTAGTGCTTCTTTTATCCCTTTCCAGTTGTTCTTCAAAGTAGTTTCTTGTTCATTCAATAGATCCTGTAGAGCTTGGAACCTGCTGTTGAGAGTTATCTTCGATTCGTTGAGCTTCTCAGTATCTCGAAGGAAGGCTGTATTGAACCTTTGTAATGCTGTTCCCCCAGTTGTCCAGTGTTTCTTTAGCTTCAGTCTCATCTTGGCCACAACCAGGTGGTGATCTGAAGCTATGTCAGCTCCTCTCCTAGTTCTCACATCTTCCATTGATCTTCGAAATTTTTTGTTGATACAAATATGATCTATGTAGCTTTTTGTATGCGTTTGCGTGGAAATATTGTGTCGTCTATAACCAATTTGTTGAATGCACATTGATTTGCAAATCTATTTCCATTTTCATTTCTCTCTCCTAGTCCATGTCGTCCAATTATATCTTAATATCCTGTGTTGTTCACTCCGACTTTAGCATTTAGATCTCCCATCAGGATGGTGAGGTCCTTTCTTGAGCACTTAGCTATGATTGATTAAACCCTCTCATAGAACTGATCTTTATCGTCGTCGTTGCTATCATTTGTGGTTGCATAACATTGGATAACATTCATTGTGATCCCCCACTTCTTTGCTTTGAAGGATGCTTTGATAATTTTGGATCCATGAGACTCTCATCCTACAAGTGCATTTCGTGCTTCTCTGGACAGCATTAGAGCAACTCCCTGAGTGTGTGTAGCATTTTCCTCTTCGTGATCAGAGTACAGCAGCATCTTTCCCGTACCTAACCTTTGTTATCCAGCTTGGGTTCAATAAATTTTGCTAATTCCAAGTACTGCTAATTTGTATCTCCTCATTTCCGTTGGTAAGTGACTAGCCTTCCCTGTCTCCCACATTGTTTGGACGTTCCATGTACCTATGTTAATTGTTGCTCTGGTTGTTAGAAGGGGCATCGGCCTCTTGACTCTCAAGGAATCTGGGGCGTCATAATTCTTCCTTCAACTCGGAGGGCAAAGTTTAAATACTTTAATTTGTTTAATCTGGTTGGCTTTTTTTAGCAAGTTTTTTTCTACTGGATGGGGTTGCCTAATCCATGCCCAACCCTCCTCCCCTACTGGGGCTTGGAACCGGCAGTAACTCTAGAAGAGCTGTAGGTGGAGTTGACCCATGGTACCTTCTATGCCTTTTACAGTATGAGTCAAAGTTTCTTCATACTTTTGATTCTTATATTGTTAAGTACTAAAATTTTTTGTACAAGACTTTATTCAGACGATTAACTACTTTTTTCATGTTGTTAATTCAGACCATTTCACCGTCTGGCCCAAGTGATCTACAGGTACTGTTATCTTCTTATATATTGGAATCAAGTGTTAGACGAGTAATAACTTTCTAGATCTTATAGATATTCAGTCATTCTCCTAAACGAGAAGTAACTTCAATATTAATTGTCGTTTTGGTTTTCCCTCACGTCTGTAATGGCTTGTTTACGTAGGTTGGTGTTATATTGTGTATGCCAGTCGTTTATATAATTAAACATTTCGTGGTTTTGCTTACGCAATTGATAATAGTTCGACAAACTCAGGTACTTACTAACGTTCGATTGGTTGTGCTAACTTTCCCGTTTTCATAACTAACATTTAGAAAACCAGCAAAGTAACTTTTATTATCCAAATTTAAGAACTCATGTGGTTCCATGCATAAAATATAAGACCATAATGCACCGTGATTTTTGAATTTTAATACAGGCATAACCAGGTCACTTATGGGACAAGTCTGAGTAGCGGGTTTATAACTAAAGGTAATTTATAGCTGGGAGAAGTTATAGAAATAGTTATATGGCAGTATAAAAATAGCTTAAACAAGCTGTTTAATATATATATATATATATATATATATATATATATATATATATATGCTGATACAACATAGAATACCGCTTAAAGTTTCGCGTTTTCATTTATTACTTTAATTCTCAATAACCGGATACATCATAGAGCCTTGGAACATAAAATAATTATCATAAGTAGTTGTGTAACAGCTTTATTTTGTCATTTAGTTGCAAGTCCAAAGATCGATGGATAAGCACATGTGTGCTTATGACATGTATCAAGTAGCTAGTTTTATGAGCTTTGGTACTGACGTGTCTTCATTTTCAGTAATTTCTGGCTTATTCACACTCTATCAAGTATAGAGTGTAGATTATTTTCCCCTGTTGGGGATGTTAGATCCCCAGAACTCACTTGGTAAATGCCTTATTTTTGTAATTTTACTTTAAGAATTTGAATTTCTTGTCTTCGCGCCAAAAGTGTTCATTTTTAACATCATGTAGTATTTCCGATTTGGGAGGATCTTAAACGCTATTGGTTCATTGTATGTATGTTATTTTGTAACGCTTCTCAAGGACAATTTTATGCTGTATATATGTTATAACGGTCGTTTTCTTTCTACTCACGAATGGGATGTCTACACCAGATTCTCTCCCAGTGTCTACCCTACAGGACTTCAGCACAACTCATATCAAGAAGATGTGATTAACCTGACTAGAACGTAAATATGTTTCCACACCAAAACCGACACAATCCAACAACAAATGGACAATCAATCAATGATAATAATAAATAATAAGGCTAGGGGAATATATAACTCATCTGACACCTGTTAGACTATCTACACCCCTGACTAAGCAAACAACCATTCATTATCATTCATGCCCACATATCAATATATACGTTTGGTTTGTGTTTGCTGTGATTGCTTGTGCTTCTGGCTGCTTGCGGGATGTATTTCCCCACTTCGAACTTGAACTTCTAGTTAGTGGGGCCGGGCGCATCAGAGTAGCCAACTTATTGGTCTTTGTTCCGTTCTCAGATTAGGGAACTCGTAATCGTTTCAAACATAACATCCTCAAAGGTTGCCTTTCATGTAATTGACTTTTTAATTTCAGACAAGCTTTAGGACGATCGCTTATGACTAAATACCCATCACACGGGAAATCAACATGATATGACTTCTAGATTAATGTGTAGAGAGATTGCTTTAATTTTCATTGGTCGAAACCGTCCTGTATCCGAGTTTCCAGCTAAATTGTTTTTTGACGTTTTGCCTACGTTTGGTTAACAGTCTGTTGTGACGTGTAAGCGGCCGTACCAGTAAGCTTGCCTAACAAACCTGGTTTCTACCTAACCTCCAAAGTTTTGTTACTAGGATCTAAGGTGGTTTTAGATATGATTAAACATAACTCCGCGGTTATTGATTTAAATGTACCAACGTAGTTCACAAGAAAGTAGGGTGTAACTCATAGAGTACATACTATACATAATATAGTGTTTTACTAAATTTGACCTTGATTATGAAAAAAAGCCGATTTTTTCTTTTCCATCTTTAATAAGTATGTAATTATACTCAAATTTTTGCCGAGTTTCAATGTGTTTTGATATTTTAGAGTTGGTTCTTCAATTCAATCCTCCCGTCGGACTTTTAATTTCGCTTCTTGAGAATACGAACAAAAAGTCTGATTATTTGTATGATAAGAATGTCCGTGAACTAACTATTGATTCAGATAAGAGTTCTTTAGACTCAGTGATCATGACACCAGTAACACAATCAGAAAGTTCATCTAAGGTAATGCAATGTTTATTTAAATCCTTTTTGTCTGATTTTAATCGGATAAAAAATCCTGTCTCATATTTTCTGACTGCAGAGCTTGTAGTGTCGGTTGTTATGTTAAGCCCATATGTCCTTATTCTAGCTTCTGGACAAGCCAATTTACCTATCCATCATGAGTCACGTTTTGACCTCACTTATCAACCCTGACTGTTTTTATATGAGCGTATGTATGTGTACACTTTTTGTCCTATTCATCACATGTCTGTAGCGTATTTTTTATCTGGCTATAAATATTGATTAGTGAGTTGGCTTATCCGCCAGCTCCAATGCGTGTCATTTTCGCTTCATCCCTCTAATTTCCTGTCCAGATCAATGAATGTACAAAATATATGTATTCGAAATCCATTTTCGTATTTGACTTATTTAATTCCGTTATTCATCAGCGCAGATTAAGTCATGTATTACATACGAGGACAGACAGGGTGTATATTTTGACAACAATCATTCATACAGTCTAATTGGAGTCAGATCCTAGCCCCTATAAGCTCAATCTATTGTTGAAAATAATTTATCACCCTATAAAAAGACAAAGGATTTAAAGACCTTTGTGTATCACGGCTTCTGCTAATTAGCTACATTTAGTAGCACTGTGGATGGAAACTTACCAATTTACACCTACTGTTCTAAGTACCTTAGAGGTTTTTTTAAATCATCTCTTGACAAGTTGGTAAAAAATCATAATTCTTCGTTGTTTGCCGTGTCCCGTAGGTCACCAACATAGAACTTTAAGACGACTAAAGCTGTTTTCTAGTCAAAATCAACTACCAATATGGGATAGATGTACAAACAGACTCATACTACACATGTCTAGCATGTACTATATATATATATATATATATATATATATATATATATATTCATGTTCCCGCTAGTTACTCTTGTGTACAATATCAAAAGCACAAATAGGAAATTTGAGTATTGCAGTTGGCAACGTCTCAACTAAATAGGACATCACATCTGTGAAAATATTCGATAACGAATACGATGTGATTTAAGCGATTATCTACTTACTTTTTCTACATAGATGGAGAAATTATAATTCAGCATTTCGCACAAAATTGCTTTAGTCTAAGTTTTCATACTTCGTAACAGCATAACAAGTCATTTTATCTGAAGTACTAGATCCCAGTAAAGTCGAATTTTCAACCGGTGTGGTTCACGTTACTGTTCTTCGGTTTATTGTACTTTAATTAAACTACAAGTAAATAAAATCTATTACTATAAATTTTTTTCGAGATATGTTTCCTTTGACTCTTGATCTTCCAAATCGTCATAATTTATATAAATATTGCGACTATGCTTTAGCAGATTATTTCCCTAGCCTTTAACTTTGAAATTTAGTTCAGATATTACTAGCGATGTAAGGTCTTCCTTTATCATTTTTGCAAATAACAAGTACAATCTCACATGGCATTATTATCCTGGAGTTAAGCTACATAATTTTTAAAGAATTAAGGTTAATCACAAAACGCACTTTTATCCTTTCGTTCCACATGTGGGAATACAGTTGTTAAGAAATTATTAGCAGAGATTGTGACCTATACCTAAATAAGAGGAAAAAAATTTAACTGACTGTGGATGTGTAAGGAGGGTTTTCAGAGTGAGATTTCTCTTTTATAACCTAGAGAGTCAGTTGTTAGTTTTGGATTTATAATGATCAGTGGTTGTGTCTCAATGATAAAATGTGTTAGCGGAATTTAGATCGAATTAAAGCATGTCCCGTGAAAGATTATGTTGGGCCATTCTGGTTGGTTATTTCTTATCCAATCAACGCTAGCGGATACTTGGCGAACACTAGAATCTTCAGATGTAAAGACTAAATATACTAGCATTTCTCTTATTGTAACTCTTACCTCCATCTACCCTTATTATTTGGGGTATAATTTAGTTCCTGTTCAACCGTGTTCTGATTTGGGGTCGAGTGAATTGGTATCCTCGAATACTAGGCAATAGGAATAGCTGGGTCGTAATAAAGAAAATAGATTCATCGAAGGTTTTATTTTTGATCGGTTCACAATGGGCATGTGTGGGACGTGCCATTAATTTTCTTTGACCTCCTGATATTCACTTCGTGATAATCATGAATTACTTTGGTATGTACAGGAGATATCGTTGTTTTACACTTCATATGCATTTCCATGTTATTGTTTAGTTGAATGTGTGAATCTTCATTAACTTTCATATTTACATAGATTATCAATAAGTAGCAGTTTTACTGGTCATATAAATGTTGTTACTATTACAGTAAATTCTTTTCATCTGTATAATTCAGTTTAATTGTAATCGTTATCAAAAATTTTGCCTAATATTTTCTGTAGTCAGATCATGTGTCTCCTGGCATAACAATAGCTCTCACTCGAAATCTCCATGTTCGTGTTCATCCAACTGAATTAAATTGCTGTTTGAGGCAATCAGCTTGGTGTTTCTCATCGAGTGGCTTTTATCAGTTTGGTCAAGAAGAAATCGTAATTCTGTTACGTAGACGTTTTGATGAAAGACTACCACCAATGGAGATATTTTATCAATACTGGCTTATATATCAAGCTTTAGTGAATTATGCTGAGAAACAAGTTAAAAGTGATGTTAATTTCGGTGAGCAAATGTTTTTCCACCGTTTGTGATGCTGGTTTCCTGTATGCGGATGATGGGTGCCCGTAATTTTTTACGTAGTTCTTATTCCACAAATCGACATTGGCGAAACAAATGTTGCTTTCTTTCTCATATAACGTATTACTAGTAATCGTTCATTATCTTAGCATTGATATTCATTAAAAACCTCTGAATAAACCCGAAATAAGAGATTTAGTCACCCTTCCTAAAATAAGTGTCAATTGTATTATCTTGCCACACCGTACATGCCACAACTATTTATCGAAATACATACGTAGCTCCAATTGCACATTGTTATTCAAGTCGGAAGGGAAATCACACTGAATTTACAAAGCCTTGAATGCTTTTTGGTATTAAAGGATATAGTGTAATTATATATCATAGGACATCAAAAGGACATTACTGCAAACATGCTTACCTAGAGAGTGTTGTATTTCATATGATACCATATATCATTTACTTACAAATAATTATTTTCATTTACAACACTTTGCATTTTCTTTACTCGTCCTATTCATTTCTCTTTCTCTCTTCACATAGAATCTTTCAACTCTCAAACGTATAATAGACCCTTCGGTTCAGCACCATTTCGTTCACATGATTGTTTCTTTGAAAAACTTTACTTTGCAAACGATCGTTGTTCTAGTTCACCATGTACTGACTCAGATATGTCAAATGGTTACTGTTGGCTTAATTCCAGATCTTTAACAAGTAGTATTTATGGAAGTAGCAACCCATATGGATTCGTATTTTTCCATCCAACTCACCAGTGTTTATTAGGTCTACATCTACCGAATCCACCGTTTTTAATCGCTCTACTAGTGCATATACAAGAAGCACCTTGGGCATATCATTTACCGAGTAGAATTTTATTGAATCTAGGCAAAATGTCACATTATTATCCAACTACTTTGTTATCCGATCGTGATCGCAAGATTTTATTTGATTGTAAACTAGACGGAGAAAGCTTCTTACAATTATTCACTAATATAAAACCATTTATCTATCCAGATTTCATGACATTTACGCCTAAACAAAGATGTATCCCATTACCAGAATTATTATTTCATATAAATGGATTCTATGCACATTTGAATGTAGTTAAAAGTGAATCGGATACGAATATTACTACACATAATAATGGTATCGAAGATGTAATTGTGGAGCTTCTAGTAAGTCTGAAAAAAACTTAGTTATCTATGTGATTTCCTAGCTGGTCCCTGTATTCGTTTTGCATTTCCTCATTTGTTTGGAATAGTGTCTTCAAATATTTGTTTTTAATTGGCATTCATCCTATTATCCGATTCAGTCACAATGCACACTTCCTATCGCTGGATTAACTAAGTGTGCGAAGTAATAAGACTAAGATAGGATAGGATTTTGTAATGTTAAAGGCTGAATGGACATTGACACATGTTGTGTGTATATATATGATAACAGATTGATGCACATAAGGGCATGCAAGTGATAACCCTGACCAGATAAATAATTCACTCACAAAACGTCCTTCGACATTTCGATTTCTCACTCACCATTTGCCTTTGAGGAATCATGTAACCTGTCTGATCTTGTAATAACATGGTTCCATCAGGATTGTCCGACACACCGTTCTTTTATATACCTTACCCAGTAAAAAGTGTGATTCGAACAACTTTCACATCACAGCCCTAACTTCACTATCTGAAATACATTTTCAGTAGAGTCATTTCTATCTATTGATGTTAAGTTTTTAAATTAAAATATCCTCCTCAAAGGATACAACCTCTCTCAAAATCCTCATTCTGAGTTACAAATCTTATCCGCTACCCCATATTGGTCTTTTAACCAATTGATCAATAGAGTTTACTGTGTATTGTTTTTATGGATCCCCAACACTTGATGTGATTATCATAATACCTTTGTAGTCATCACTACACAGTTTCTTTTCATTCTTCTTCCTTTTGTCAAATCCAGATACCCATGTCTTCATGTGCTTCTGTGGCTAGATTTCTGGACTCGAGTGTTATGGAGTCAATGACATTTGCCCTATCAGCCGATTGTAACCCGATGTCCGATTCCCATTTAGTTTGTTCGCAGTCAAAAATACTACTCAAGGAGTCTAAAGACAACCACAATAAGTTAATTTGTCAGAATGTGACCAATTCACAAATGGTCTCAAATCTAAATTATTTTACTGATCAAAATTGTTCTCAGACCTTCGAGACTGAAGCTATTTCAATTGAAAATACAAGACTCAAGGTATTCATTATATTTATTGGTTACGCAAAGCTTAAAACTTATTGCCCATTTCACCCAACGCATCAGTTTTAATTGTTGAGATTATAGTTCAAGGTCCTGTTACTTTCTAAAACACGATTTGTCCTATGATTAGTTACTCTGCAATATATATATGCAACTATTTATTTATTTATATAAACATTGATACATAGGGGCACCAAAATATATGTGCGCCATACAATAAGAAATTGATCTGTGACCAACGAGCCCCCAATGACCACCCAAAGAGAATGTTACCCATGTAAGTTTCTCACTGATGAAACCTTTTACTTTAATGCCAGGTAAATCACTGTAAATCGGAGTCCAGTAGGTGAATTTTCCCTCCACTCTGGCACTAAATGCGACACAAACGCCAGGAAAACCGGACATAAATACCCTAGAGCCTCTGGATAAGCGCAGGTAAAACAATCTCTCCGAACAGCAGGCTCATTCCACCCTCGGCCGTACCAGGGCATTTGCGGGCTTTAAACTCATATCACGCCTATTTCCGAATATATTTTGAAAGCACATCAATGGAAGATTGTCCCACTTTCATCGCAGAGGTATGAGTGTGGATTTAGGATTTCTGCTAAGATCGTTCATTTATTGAATACGTTAGACCTCATTCGTAATCCTAACAGAACTTTAGTTTCATCACCATTACCTAACGTTAGCGTTTTTCAATTCGATCGGGATAGCAGGCTCATTCCACCCTCGGCCGTACCAGAGTGTCTGGTAGAGGTGACGTAAAAAGCGCGTATGGTCCCAAGTTTGTAGTGTACGTTATATCGCTGTAATGCAAAGATCATAAATAAAGGTTTAACTTTTATTATTTACAGGTAACTGGTGTGAGCTTTGTAGCGTTTTCTGGTCATGCACGATATTGTAGTGCAGTAATCGTCGAGGATGGAATATATATTTCTATGACAAGTTTAAAATTTCACCAGCTAGTCAGTAGTTTGAAAGGTGGTCACGATTTATCAATTCCTATACGATCAAGTTGTAACATCCCACCATCTGCAATAGTAGAACACATCAGTGGTGATTTTGGAGATAATATTTCGAATCGCGATCTTCTTAATGGAAATGTTGCCTCATCAGTTCACGTAAAGTGGTTTAAAGTGTTTGATTCATTTTTGTCAAGTGCTTCATTTAGCACTACCGTTACTCCATGTTACGTAAGTTTTGAAATTTAGAAATTACAACTTCATTCTGTCAGAATTCTATCTCTATTACGTTCTTGTTTCTTGTTTTTGTTGTTTTCCATCGCTTCCAAATACTTCGTTCAAGCAATAAGACATCATAATCCATGAGAAATGATGTATGTCACTATGGTTTTAAATTAAAATCTGTCTATATTCTTGTATATGTAAAATAATAAAGAAGCTCGGAATTTCATACTTTTTGAACAAGTCATAATTGTTCTGTTTGGCAAACTGACTGTATGCGTTCGATAGCTCTCTTGAATTGCTTTAATTTTATTATAACTAGATACATGAGTAAGATATCTTCCATGATAATTAATTCAATTTATTATATCTGTATACACAATACTGCTAGGAAAATCAGTGGTTAAGTCTATTTTGTGCTACTAGCGCGAATAATCCATTTTTAGTTTGTTGATTCTTTTCTGTTCTGTGGTTGAACACAAGCCATTTCCAAACATTAACACAGTTTTCTCGATTCGTTTAGTGTTGTCTTTACAGTCCAGTGATACATTAATCCTTGTTTCTGAAGAAATCGCTTAATATTTTAATTACGTCTAGTCTACTATTTTTTTTAAAAAATAAACCCTTTTCTTGTACTGAAAACAGGTTAGAGAGAAATGTAAATCACTTTAGTGTTATTTACACTTACCGATCCATATTCACTATGTTGATACGGTAATCAGGCTTGAATATTGTGACGCCTCATTCAAGTTATATTGACTGAAACACTGTTTTAGGTTTTGTCATTACTAGTTGGGTGCTTGGGAAGAGTTTAAACCAAGCAGCCTATTATTATAATTAAATTACGATAAGGGGATTTGCAGAACTGGACAGACGAATTGTTTGAAAGGTTCACCAAAGATTTACACAAACTCACTAAAGGATCTTCCCTAGAGTGCTTTATGAGTTATTGCTTGTACAAAAAATCATATCAATTATTTCTATTAGGGGACGCCCATCTGGACAGACCAATTTATTTAGTTTTATCGTATCTAAGGTTAGAAGCAGCCTTATCAGCGTCTGACTTTTCGACGGTTGATCTATCACCTGGAGCGTGATATTTATCCACCCAAATAAAATGCTTTAAACTTATTTTATTTTTACAGTTAGTCAAAACTTGAAAAATAACTGTGCCAAACATACAATTTGATAACCTTATTATCATCGGGTCATGTTTAAATTTCTCTTCGATAAGCAGATCATTAAGCCGAATAGCATTTTAATGTATTTTAAGTAATATTTCTCTAAGTGTTGAATTTAATCTTCAGACTAATTCTGCCAGCATATGGGACTTGGAACCTATTACTACATTCTTAGTGCCAGTACATTACCAACTATGGCACTGGATACATCTAAATGAAAATATTATTCCAAGCAGCGAAAGTCGATTAAGTTCTTTACCGACTACCAAGTCAAGTGATCCACCTTTTTTACGATTGGCATGGATTCGATTTCATGTGTTAAACGTTGATCAAGTGGAATTTATTAGTACATCCTCAAGTAAAGCAGTGACTTTTGGACATTTTTCTAATGAAGTAGCTGAATGTGTAATCAAAGTAAGTTTAACCCAAAAAAAACTTTATTAGGTAAACTACCTTTTTATCCATTCACTAAAACTTGTGATCACTTTAGTCATAAGCGTTATTCATATGAAGAAATGCTGTTATCACAAATACAATACTCAGATCTTTTGTACAGTCCTTACTACATGAAATCAAAATTCTTAAAATAAGTCAGTATGTTTTATTCTTTTTTAACTTTATCAATTTCTTTCAGTGTGTGTTACCAACTAAGCCACCTTCAATGCGATATAATACAAGTTTAGAAATATACTAGTGAAACTCAATCTTTTAAAAGCCTCTTCAGCTTAACTCCAGTTTAACACATACAGGAGTGTCAGTTGTCGAGCAGATGAATGCAGTGGATTGACCCCGGTTATCCTCGTGCTATATTATTCCAAGCTGAGACTATAAATTGTGGACGATGTTTGAGAGATACGAAAGTAACCTTGAGACACCTCAGTGAATCATTAGGGTTATGAATTAGTCTGAGGAATCATGATAAGGAGTTAGGATAACAAATATCAGAGCTAGGGTTTTCATTATGATCTGATATCATATAAAATGACTGACAGGACATGTGTTCATGGATTTGTAGCGCATGTGTTATCCAATGTTCAGTATACGTGTGGCATGAAGCACTCTTCCGTTCAATTAGTAGGTGATCGCCACTAGTAGTGTAGTGCACGAAACACGAGTGGGGACTATCGAATGTATTTAAATACTAATTACAGACTATCTCACTAAATTCTGTTAACCATACAGCAAACAGTTAATCTGCTAAATAACAGCCAATTGTCTCAATCTTCACTGTTCCTTCTGTAAATATCAGTTCATCTTCTCTAATGCCATTGTTCATGTATTTTCCTACCAATTGCGCTTCATTTCAGTTCTTTCCTTGTCGGTCTTCTGCCATAATGCATTCTATGTCTGACCATCACTATATACTACTTATATGGATATAAGTAGACCACACTACAGTAGTGCAATGACTTAGTGGGACTAAGCTAACTTATTGCATTATGCAGAAAGAATCAGAGTATTTGCAAAATATGGGAACAATGCATTCAATACATTATTTGCCTATCTTCCTTGAGTTGTCCCTAACAAACTATATTGTTCTTCTGTTCCTGTTTTTATTTCAATTGCTTCCTGTTTTCCATTTCTCCTCATTTCCCACTTCCGTAATAATTATACTTTCAATTCCTAATACATACTATTTATATCTGCCCGTATAAGTAGTAAACATTACAGTAGGGGCATGCTGTCTTGACGACCTTGAGTGACGTAGCAGCCAACCGGAAAAAACTGCCTAGCTTCAAAACTATTAACATTAAAAACTACAAAACTACAGTCGAATAGTTGTTTGCATATGATAAACGATCCCTTTCGTACAGAAAAAAATGTTACGTTTCCATACTAGGAACTGAGCTACTGTTGTGAATAAAGGCTATAGCCCTACAGGGTTTTCGTCACAAACCTATACCAACTATCATTCAAAAACGCTAACGTTAGGTAATGGTGATGAAACTAAAGTTCTGTTAGGATTACGAATGAGGTCTAACGTATTCAATAAATGAACGATCTTAGCAGAAATCCTAAATCCACACTCATACCTCTGCGATGAAAGTGGGACAATCTTCCATTGATGTGCTTTCAAAATATATTCGGAAATAGGCGTGATATGAGTTTAAAGCCCGCAAATGCCCTGGTACGGCCGAGGGTGGAATGAGCCTGCTGTTCGGAGAGATTGTTTTACCTGCGCTTATCCAGAGGCTCTAGGGTATTTATGTCCGGTTTTCCTGGCGTTTGTGTCGCATTTAGTGCCAGAGTGGAGGGAAAATTCACCTACTGGACTCCGATTTACAGTGATTTACCTGGCATTAAAGTAAAAGGTTTCATCAGTGAGAAACTTACATGGGTAACATTCTCTTTGGGTGGTCATTGGGGGCTCGTTGGTCACAGATCAATTTCTTATTGTATGGCGCACATATATTTTGGTGCCCCTATGTATCAATGTTTATATAAATAAATAAATAGTTGCATATATATATTGCAGAGTAACTAATCATAGGACAAATCGTGTTTTAGAAAGTAACAGGACCTTGAACTATAATCTCAACAATTAAAACTGATGCGTTGGGTGAAATGGGCAATAAGTTTTAAGCTTTGCGTAACCAATAAATATAATGAATACCTTGAGTCTTGTATTTTCAATTGAAATAGCTTCAGTCTCGAAGGTCTGAGAACAATTTTGATCAGTAAAATAATTTAGATTTGAGACCATTTGTGAATTGGTCACATTCTGACAAATTAACTTATTGTGGTTGTCTTTAGACTCCTTGAGTAGTATTTTTGACTGCGAACAAACTAAATGGGAATCGGACATCGGGTTACAATCGGCTGATAGGGCAAATGTCATTGACTCCATAACACTCGAGTCCAGAAATCTAGCCACAGAAGCACATGAAGACATGGGTATCTGGATTTGACAAAAGGAAGAAGAATGAAAAGAAACTGTGTAGTGATGACTACAAAGGTATTATGATAATCACATCAAGTGTTGGGGATCCATAAAAACAATACACAGTAAACTCTATTGATCAATTGGTTAAAAGACCAATATGGGGTAGCGGATAAGATTTGTAACTCAGAATGAGGATTTTGAGAGAGGTTGTATCCTTTGAGGAGGATATTTTAATTTAAAAACTTAACATCAATAGATAGAAATGACTCTACTGAAAATGTATTTCAGATAGTGAAGTTAGGGCTGTGATGTGAAAGTTGTTCGAATCACACTTTTTACTGGGTAAGGTATATAAAAGAACGGTGTGTCGGACAATCCTGATGGAACCATGTTATTACAAGATCAGACAGGTTACATGATTCCTCAAAGGCAAATGGTGAGTGAGAAATCGAAATGTCGAAGGACGTTTTGTGAGTGAATTATTTATCTGGTCAGGGTTATCACTTGCATGCCCTTATGTGCATCAATCTGTTATCATATATATACACACAACATGTGTCAATGTCCATTCAGCCTTTAACATTACAAAATCCTATCCTATCTTAGTCTTATTACTTCGCACACTTAGTTAATCCAGCGATAGGAAGTGTGCATTGTGACTGAATCGGATAATAGGATGAATGCCAATTAAAAACAAATATTTGAAGACACTATTCCAAACAAATGAGGAAATGCAAAACGAATACAGGGACCAGCTAGGAAATCACATAGATAACTAAGTTTTTTTTCAGACTTACTAGAAGCTCCACAATTACATCTTCGATACCATTATTATGTGTAGTAATATTCGTATCCGATTCACTTTTAACTACATTCAAATGTGCATAGAATCCATTTATATGAAATAATAATTCTGGTAATGGGATACATCTTTGTTTAGGCGTAAATGTCATGAAATCTGGATAGATAAATGGTTTTATATTAGTGAATAATTGTAAGAAGCTTTCTCCGTCTAGTTTACAATCAAATAAAATCTTGCGATCACGATCGGATAACAAAGTAGTTGGATAATAATGTGACATTTTGCCTAGATTCAATAAAATTCTACTCGGTAAATGATATGCCCAAGGTGCTTCTTGTATATGCACTAGTAGAGCGATTAAAAACGGTGGATTCGGTAGATGTAGACCTAATAAACACTGGTGAGTTGGATGGAAAAATACGAATCCATATGGGTTGCTACTTCCATAAATACTACTTGTTAAAGATCTGGAATTAAGCCAACAGTAACCATTTGACATATCTGAGTCAGTACATGGTGAACTAGAACAACGATCGTTTGCAAAGTAAAGTTTTTCAAAGAAACAATCATGTGAACGAAATGGTGCTGAACCGAATGTTCTATCATATATTTGAATGTCGTTTGATCTGATGATAATCAGTTTCTGCTGATGTGGTATGTAGTTCGCACTTTGTGTTCGCAAAGTCATTTTCAAGACTGTTAGTTCGCTGTAGTTTCACTCTTTGTGGGTTTTGAGGTAGTTCAGACATTCTGAGCATTCGGAACCACTGCATTTACTCTAGTGTAACGCTCTTACCTTGAAACGAAAATAATGCAATTACCGTGAGAAACTGATGCAATTACGATTTTCCGGTTCTATAGGAACACTCGTGGTTACAAAACTATAATCACATCATCTTTTAAACCAAAATGCAATCATTTACTAAACTTTACTCTTGGTTATTAGAAACATAGAAGTGAGATACATATAGTCAGCGTAAAAGACTGAATATATCACATCTTAACTGGTATACGGAACAAAGTTGTCATATTGAACGAAGTGCACACCTGGCCAAAATCCATGATGAACTAATACAGAAATATTGACCTGGATGACATTATCTTTTCATCCCATTATATCAATAAGTGTTTGATCTACTTTAGTCTTTTAGTTATTGCATTATTCTGCACTAAATATTCGTACGTATAACGAATTATGTATTAAGATAAAGAGTTTTTTGTATAGTAAAAAGTCCATTTATTTTACATTCACCATTGTTTTGTGTGGATAACTGATATTTCTTAATGTGCTTTTATTTTACAATCATTGGAATTATGCACTGTACTTCAGTTGTATTTCGAATGACAACGAAATCGTACTCAGAATGCTATTATTATTCTGTTCATGTTATATAACAGCTCTTCATCTGTATTGATAAAATAACTATTTGTATTGATTATTTTATTCGTATGTTTGAAACTCACTAAGTGTTATTGCGCATAGGCAAAACTTTCAACTTCGTTATCAGTCTCTTAATTCAACATACTTTCATTTTCATTTAGGTACTTTGTAGATAAAGATGATATTGTGCAATTCATACGTAGTGTCTGTTTTATTCTTCTAGTTATAAATCAAGACTTGTGTCAACACTACAATAATTTACTTGAGTTTTTCATAGCTTGTTGTGAAATGCTTACGTCTTGATTTATAGGCGCTTCGACCTTACCTTGGTCATCTTCTAAACAATAACCGTACACAAATCACACTGCGCATTCTGTTACAACCACCAGATCAGGTTGGCTATCGGATGGGTGCTTCATGTCAGGAAGTATACACACTTCACAATCAACTAGATTCATCGAATGATCTTGAAAATACAAGCTGTGAGAATTGTGAAGAAACGTATGCTGACGCACTAGACGATATATTATTGCCTGTTTTATCTTCATGGAATAGTTGCTTAAAAATCGTCGATCCAAATATGAAAGAATTCGAACAACGCCGCTCACCGGGTACTTCTGATTTTTGTTATCATCCAAATGAAATAATTCAGATGGAATTTGATTTTTGCATTTTAAACTGAGGTTATGTAAGCTAGGAAAGTATGTTAGATATAACATTGTATCAAACAATCTGTTCCCAATTATTCGCATCTTTCCTTCTTATTGTTCGTCCCGCTTTTTTGTTATTCTGTTTGATTGATCCATCAATTAGGTGACCTCGAGTTAGTAGCATATTTTTCGACCAGAATTTATCTGCTACTCTCCCAAGCCAGTGTTTCCTATTTTCTCTGTTTATTTACGAAGTGATTTACATGTTGACCTCCATTCATTTATTGTGAAAACTTGTATCTGTGACTCATAGTTTCTTATTTTCGTTGTTAACTAATTTCGATTTGAATTACCATGAAATAGTTTATTAAGCGAAATTGTGGATTTTTTCCAGTTGTTTCTTGAGAGAAAAGTCGTCTAGCTTTTATCGAAAACGATCCCGGGAGATAAGAAACAGCATTTACTTTTGTTGAAATAAGTCCAACATCGGGAACAAGGAATATTTGGCTGCTAAACGTCAGTCCTAAGATGAGTAAATAATATGGTTCTCAGTAAGATTGAATCATTAGATCAGTCTAGACCATCCTGCACTTATACATATAGCAGTATATGTACAATATGTTTAGATTATGGCTAATCAAAAAATCACATCTCGTCCTATTTGCTGGGTCAAAGTATAACGAGAGATGAGCAAGCGTACATTTTTATAGGCCTGTGAGTTTTGTAGTCGAATTCCTAAGCGGTGTTTATTGTCATGTTAACACCTTCATTGTACTATGATTACTGTATATCTACATGTCACGCTCATTGCGGATGAGTCACTATTATTATTTGTTCTACTATTTGACCATTCTCAAGCCTATTTACCATGAATCCCAACTTTTATATTTAAACGTGACCCGACAACCTCAACCACTATGTCAGTATATTTTTAATATATACAGATATCTGTAAATCAGCTACTGAGAAATGTCAGTGGAATTCGTTAAAACTCATCGCAAATAGACTTCACAATTCTGACTCAAGCCAACCTAAATTGTCTATGTATACAAAAATCAGTCAGCCAACCGAATTTCGGATATTATGATTCATAATGATCTTCGCGGCTATCAAGCATCTAAGAACAGCTTAGTTCATTGAGTTCGCACCTTAATGAAGGCAAAGTTCCCAATTGTTTCCAAACTTTGACTACCGGACCCCAAAGTCGAAGCACTGGAAGTAAATTGGCTTCGGGATGGATAACTATGTCCACAATCCTCTTACTTAATGTACCCTATACGTGTAATGTTGCCATACGCTGGCTGTTTTTACTAAAGGGAAGTCATCGTCGTCATAGCAAAGCTGACGAATCAATGTAAATCTAATATTTTCGATAAAACTTACGTACATAACGATTTCTTTGAATGTCTTGTGATTAACATAGCAAATAAATTGTTTTTCTTCACAAGTCACATATCTCAACAAGATGTATTGATTAAACCTACGGTGAACAGGCAAAAATCAAAACAAGGATGCTTATATTGGCTGGAGTAGCTTAATCAGCCTACACATAATGTACAGAACACCCATAACTTTGTTTATTAAGATGAATGTTATTAAGTTTAAACATGGAAAAGCACTAATTCAACACTGTTCACCGTTATAGTGAACGCTCTTTGTCAGTCTATACTCGCCTGAATACCCTGCTACTCAATTAACTGCGAACTGGTCTTCTTGACCTAAACATTTTAATAAATGTTCTTAGCAGAAATCCTAAATCCACACTCATACCTCTGCGATGAAAGTGGGACAATCTTCTATTGATGTGCTTTCAAAATATATTCGGAAATAGGCGTGATATGAGTTTAAAGCCCGCAAATGCCCTGGTACGGCCGAGGGTGGAATGAGCCTGCTATCCCTATCGATCTTACACGGCTACGGGTATATAGCCACTGCCAGGGAAGTCCTACTCATTGCGTTCTCGCGGTGGGGGTGTTGTTTACAAAGTTTGAGAGAACGAAAAGCGAACGTCCGGCGCTTAGACTGGGTTGGTGGGTACGGAGGACTCACCTGCGGGAGTTGGAAAACTCTGACTCTAAATCGATGGTGGACATGGGCTCCAGGATCATGAGGGAACAACTGGCGTATGAACCCATTCCTGGTCATTCGATACTATGGGACGGCATCTTCTAACGTTGCTACAGTCTTGTGGATTAGATCTCTAGGTCAAAGGTTCGGCGAGCGGTCTCTTGAGAAAACCACATACTTAGGTTTGAGCGCCCGCACAGTATTCCAACAGTCACATAAATTGAATGACATAGTGTGGCGCATGTATATTGTGCTTTCTGGTACCAAATAGGTATATTTAAATAAATAAGATGAACGAAAGTTGAAATATGCTCCCTGGATATTTTTATCATATAACAAACTCAACAGTTATTCTTGGTTAACCCTTGTGATGACATTTACTTTCACAGAGTAGAATAATTTGTTTTTCGATAGCTTATTCTCACGCTTTTTCTTTGTTTTTGGTGGTTGATTGACTGGATTATGAAGAGCTTCATAACTCGGGGGAAGCACGGAATACAATGAACAGGTTAGATGCAACTCGACTATTCGGACGTCGCAGATTTTGTAGGTCTTCTATCTTACACGGAAACAAATGTAGATGACAGTCAATGTTGTTGCAGCCTCTACATCGGTAAGTCGCAACACACACAAGGGGAAAAAAACAGGATCCCCATACACAATACAGAGAGCACCAACCAAGTCACACATAATGAAAAAGCTCTGGAGGAGGTGGAAAATTTTACGTACCTATGGGGCATCATCGATAAACGCGGAGGATCTGATGCATATGTAAATGCAAGAATTTTCAAAGTAAGGGCTACATTCCTACAATTGAAGACCATATGGAACCAAAAACGACTGTCTTCCAACATCCAATACAGACGTTAAGACAGTTCCAATGTACGGAGGTTAAACGTGGAGAATTAAGACAGCCATCATTAAAAAGGTAAAGACGTGTATCAAGAATTGCCTTCGCAAGACACTCAATGTCCGTTGGTCGGATACCATCAGCAACAGCCTACTGAGGCAAACAACAAATAAACTTCCAGCTGAAGGAGAAATTAGGAAAGGACGCTGGATGTGGATAGGACATATATTGCGAAAATCATAAGCTGCATCACAAAACAAGCCCTTACTTAGAATCCTGAAGGGAAGAGGAAAAGAGGCAGATCAAGGAACATACTGAGTCGGGAACTGGAAGCAGACATCAAAAGAATGAGTGGCAACTTGAAACAGAATTGCCCAGGACAGAGTTCGTTGGAGAATCCTAGTGGATGCCCTACTCTTTCACGAGGGGTAACAGTCTTTAGTAATTAATTGGGAGTTGATAATTACAATGAGCAACCAAATTTATCGACCTATCTAGTTAGTATTCCTTACATATTTTTTGGAAAGATGCATGCTATTCCTGGCGTTTTAACTTATTTTGCCACATCAAACTGGATAGCAAGGATAACAGTAAATAAGCGGAGGCAAACTACGCAAGCTACTACTTTTTCCTCATCTGTTTAAAAACTCGGTGTAATGGATGAGAAAAGACTGGTCCTAGACGCACACGATTTGTTTTTTAATTATCCTTAATCGGTTGCATAGTCTTCTTTTAAATGTCTCCATTTCTCATTTAATTCATTTCACTCCATACATTTCACCACATTACTATTACATTGTTTAATTCGTTGTTTTTCATCCTTTTCAAGTTCACAAATGAAAATGTGTAAAAGGTTGACCGGTTAGCTGCAAAATGCTTTATTTCATTGCTCAAATATAACAAACTAAGTTACATTATGCGAACATACAAAGGTAAGCTACGAATCATATCTACTAGTTAGAGACTTCTAAATTAGAACATATTATGTGTATACATCTGCTAACTGGTTAGTATTATGATTCACATTGTGCTTGTGAGTTGTTTAGCAACAACTGACATCCCGACAAACCTTATGTGGAATCGAATTTAACTTTGTTGGTATTATGAGTTTGCGTACTTATATAAATATTCATGTCTTGCAAAATATCACAGATGTCCATATTTCGTAAGATAAAAGCTTTTGTGAAAACTGTTGCCTCGTATATTTTCAATTTGCATGAAATATGGTGGCTCTTATAAGAATAACATAGCGAGCTAAACGATCCCCTTACGATAAGGAATTATTTTAGACGAATGTACTGTGGCTATATATTTTTAAATTTAACAGGGTCATATCAGTGAACTCAACAAGCTTCATAAAGTGAGTTTATTTTTTTACTAGTTAAGACTATCAAACAATAGCTATGCTAATGGAACATTTTAGGGTAATACGCCATCTCTAAAAAAATCCCTAAAATGTCATGAAGACCATAAATGAGACACAACTATAATCTGATCAAGTGCGATAAAAATTGAATAAAAGTTGTCTGTGGACTGAAAAGTTGTTTCGTGGAAAATCGCTTATCAATTTCAGTAATCAACGCCCTTCAGTTGTAGTAACCAGTAAATGTTGATTATCACAAACAATAATCTGCATCTTTAAAGTATGTAATTTAGAAAATAATCGAAATCGTCATCGTAACTAAGTATAATCAACTAAATAGTTACGATTACGTTTGAAGTAACTTATGAAATGGATTTCAGATTTAATAAACAGCTGAGAGTGTATTGTACAAATAGGTGGATGGTTATCATTGAATAACAATGGAAAATCGACACTTAGTGAGGACACATTGTTACGCATTTTCACAATTTTAGTAAAATTTAAACAATATTTATATTGATTATCCGCAATCAGGGTTTTTAAATTGCAATTTTATGTTCACTTTTATGTCAAAATAACTTAATAAGTGTTCCAATTAGCTTTCCTAGTGTTTGAAACAAAGTTGGTGAGTGAGACAATAGTTGAACGTAGTGTCACCTCTTTGCTGCACAATATCTCATTCAAAGTATCACGTGGCACTGATGTTCATATAAACGTTCTACGGGAAAGATGTACAAGCGTAGTCTTTTTCATATTTGGCTTCATTTAAGCCGTAACCAGAAGCGCTAAACTGCACTGTTTTTTAGACAAATAACTACGTCGACACTCCTAATTAGTCTTGTAATCCTAAATACTTAGAACAAGAACTTAGGGCCCTCAGACCCTAATATTCTTTCTTCCACGACTGGTCGAATATTATGCCATCCCACTGAGAACGTCCCTAAAATACCTATGAGAAGTTTCATTATCAAACATCTTAACAATGAATATAGCACTGTTATAAACTCACCGGTAAATGACTATAACTAAATGAGAAGAGATTTACTAATCCTCAGTAATTGAACATTGTGTTGCAGTGTCTGGGACCTCAGGATTTCGATCCCGTATAAGGTCATCACCGTGCACTTCTGATGAGTCCTGTATTTCTTCCGTTTTGGGATTTCAAATTGTTCGTCTGTTGATTTTATTCTAAGATGAAAAATACTTCTAAACTATAAAAACAAAGGAAGATTGAGTACTCAATAAAAGGATTTATATACAAATATACACACTATTATCTGGATATCGATGATAATAAACTATTGGTATTTACACACAATTTCCTCTATGGAATGGATAGAAATGCTAAATAAACATTGCGTACATGTTCGATGTGTTAATGCTTGAAAAAAATATTTGGGATAAGGATGTCAGTATTCATAACATGAGAATCATGTTTGTGGGGGAAAGTTATGAGATGTACATCACGAAGTTATCGTATTACACTGGCTATCTGTATTTGGTCGCGATGGGATAATGACTTTGAGTTCTAAACCTCGAGTGGGAGACGAACCCTTGGTATTTTGTGAGTTTAATCTATTTGACAGAGATAAACTGTCGAAAATCTGATGCACAGAACTAGAGTCTTCAATGCCCTCAGCTTCAATATTATATGCGTAGTTTCCTGGTTCAGGTTTCATTTGTAACTGAAATTTCTTAGGAGAAATAGATGTGGGCAGAAGCGATGTATTAGATGAATTAGTTGTATGTTCTACCGTAAAATCAGTGCGACAGCTCGAACTATTGAACGGTCCTGGAGACTGACCTAAACCTTCTCCAATAAAAGATTCATTTAGCGCATTAGCCGGCTTAAGTACATTCTGGGTTTGTTGGGTGACCGTAGCCTGTAATCCTGATAACGTTTGACCCCGATAATGAAAATGTGTTTTTAAGTGCGATAATACATTACTCAAAACTGGATACCTGTTGCGGGCTATGGAAAAACGTACGGCTGATGTGCGCTCACGTTTTTCTCTGCAGAGATGACAATAAAATATGCCAGTAACACGTTTAAAACCCTCAGGTGTCACCGATAATTCCATTTCCATATCGAAATCTCGACCACGCATTAGGTAAGCGTTAACAAACTGTCGTGATGCTAACCTGATTGCACTAGCTGAAGAATGTTGTTTCAATCGCTCCAGATTAACTCTTTCGTTCTCAAATAAGCCATTTCCGTATCCGACTGGAGAGGAACTGATCACAAAGTTAGGATGAGATGGTATAGCATTTGATGTGATGGTGACAGGAGGCATGTTTGACACTGGAGTCGTATTACGTGATGAAACAGGCGAGATGCTAGGTCCTGGGTGAAGGACAGGATTATTATCACCAGAGTTACAGCTACTTAAACCAGAGAGTGTGGTTAAGCTGTTTTCATCGGGTAAAGCACTAGAAAACAATGTGATATTATTGTGTCCATTTCCACTCACAGCAGCTGCGGCAGCTTGGAGAGCAGCAGCCATGATCACTGCTGGTCCATCAGAAGGTGGAACCGTTGGTTCTGACCTACGTAAAGGATTCGGGGAGTCTGGAAAGTAGGTTTTCGACGTCAAATTTACCACCGATGTTGGAGATGTTGAATCCGAATTTTCCATAAAGTTGCTTGGTAATGGGTCAGCCAAAGTAACAGGCAGTGAAGATGCTGAAGATATTAAGTGAGACAATGAAGAATCTGTTTGACAACCTATATCACTGAAACTCTGATCACATGAGTCTGGGACAATTATGATATCCTCATCAATAGAATTTCTACCCTCTATTGATAATTGAGATCGACGATACCTCCGACGAATTTCGTGTGCAGCCAAAAGAATTCCACAAGCAGCACCTGAAGGTAGTTTAAATTTTAATGGATCATTAGCAAAAATGGGCCCTACGAAATGCTCCCGTAAGGTAATTGACTTCATAATCGAACAAGCATGTCCAACAAACGTCTCGAGCCTCTGTAACTGATGATCATCTAGTCGGGCGACAACATACGGTGTACAAAAGCCTGCCAGTTCGAGACAATGAACTACATATTCTGAGCAGACATAACGTGAGATCAATTCACGAAATTCTGGATCAAGTTTAGCAAGCTTTAGAGAATCTACGGATTTTTCGCCAAGAGTTGAGTCACTACGTAAAAATTGTTCAGGATTGCAACTAAGAAGTACATTTTCCTCATCTGCTGACTCTACAATGTCAACATGATCTTTTAACGATGGAAACCCATATTCTCCATATGTAGGTGCTTCTATATGATTAACTGCATGCACAGGCCCCGACAATGATGATATATGCGACCGCTTGCGACGATGATGTACAGATACTGAAGTACTTGATATATGAATATCCTTGGGTTGGATACTGTTATTTTCATGTTTTTGTTCGTTGTTGGTCATATAAGTGTTAAAATTTTCGTTAACGGTGAGGTTTGCTGCCTCAGACGGCTGTTCCATATTTGCTTGAACTTTGGAATTTATCGAACGAAAGTCTGTTACAAATATTCCATAGCAGTAGTTAGCCACGTTGCTATCTATGTAACTACAATGAAATGAAGAAAGTCATTTGTACTAAAATTATTGGAATGCTTGGTTTTACGTCTGAGTCGGTTTAATACTTTGAAATGAAAGTTGTGTGGATTTAAAGAATACAAGAATGACCTTAAAGGGGAACGAACAGCGTACAAACTTATTTCAATTACCGACTACCCATGGATTGTATTTTGGTGTTGTTCCACTCCATTGTGCAGTAGACCTTACACAGAAGAATAAAAAAATGATTCGCTGAGAAAATACCCTGCTTTGGATAGGGCCTCCAGGTGTTCACAGCTCAAATGACTAAACGACATCTTACATTAATTTCAATATTTGAACTACCAGGCAACTCCACTAAATTGAAGATTTTACTCTAAGGGGGTTCAGTTCGTTAAATCATTAATCACTTGTTTTTGTTAAGTGAGTATCTGATAAGTTTCTTTCATGTAAAGTCACTACCATCGATGTTTGAACCTTAATGTGGACAGATTTGTCTCCACGGAAGGAGCTACTAGTAATGCATTGTTATAGTTTAGAGACCTATCCTCAAAACTATGATGAAAAATCATAAGTTTGTTATCTGTGTATCGATTCGAGAAGTGTGCTTTGCATATGATTATCCTGGACTCAGTGCTGAGATTGGTGAGTTACTGAGCGACAGAGCATGGACTCAGTGGCCGAGTGGATAACGCGATGGCGTTTCAAGCGAAAGTTACTGGGTTCGAGTCCCAGAGTGAGCATGAACTCTGAGATGCAGGTACATCCAGCTGACAAGTCCCAAGTGGGACGAAACGCGCGTCCTGGATTCCACTGTTAGCCATTGCCCCCGAATGCTGTGGTACGGCCGAGAGTTGGGAGAGTCCGCTCTCCTTCTCGAAATGCTCTCACATGGCCAGCGAATGTATAGCCTCTGCCACGGAAGTCCTACTCACTGCCTTCTCGTGGCGGGGGTGTTGTTTACGAAAGCGAGAGGACGAAAAGCGAATGTCCGGCGCTTTAACAGGACAAATTCGCTCTCCATCTGTCGCTTCGAAAAGCTTGTTCCACGTGCGCTTATCCGGGGACTCTGTGGCATCTTCGTCCGGTCTTGCTGGCGTTGGTGTCGCACTAAGCGCTAGGGCTGAGGCAGCACTAATCGATTGAATCCCCATTAACAGTCGGTTATGTGCTGTTAGATTAGAAAGTTCCATCAAAGTGAGAAGAAATCGGCGTGAGAAACGGTGTGTTTTCGTCATCTCCGCCTATGCCCCGACAGATTGCAGCCCGGATGCAATCAAGGATGAGTTGTACCACCAGTTAACAGTTCTTCTCCAGAAAGCGCGTTCGACTGATATTGTAGTATAAGCCGGAGACTTGAATGCTCAGGTCGGGCGTCTAGGCACAGAAGAGAGTCGTTTAGGTGGCCGATGGGGACTTGTTGGTCGCAGGACAGATAACGGGGACCGTTTGCTGCAACTGTGCACAGACCACAACCTGTTTCTGGCCAGCACTAACTTCCGGCACAGTCATCGCCGGTGTGCCACCTGGCGTCCTCCCTCTGCATCCCAAGCCTGGACTCAGATTGATCACATCGCGATCAGCTACCGCTGGCGTGGTTGTGTACAAGACTGCCGCTCCTTTCGGACTACCTATCTGGAGTCTGATCATGCCCTGGTCTGCGCCAATCTCACCTTACTTTTCAGTGGCCGAAGGATTGACCGCCATCAACGGATCGATGTTAGTAAACTGGCTGCAACTTCTGTTGCAAGTAAGTATCGAGCGGAGCTAGCCTCTAGGCTAGCTACCATCCCACCGAAAAGTATAGATGAGCATTGGTTGCTTCTTCACGACGCCATGAAAATGGCGAGTAAAGCCGCTTGCGGCTTCGCGAAACGTCCCGCTTACAAGCACTGGGTCTCTTCTGGCTCCTTACAACTGATCGAAGCCCGTCGGTCTACTCCGGGTGACCGTGAGTATGACCACAAACGAAGGTTGTTACGTAATGAAATCGGGCAAAGCTTGCGTAAGGACCGGGAAGCCTGGTGGTCGGAGCGTGCTAATGAGATGGAAGCAGCAGCTGCATCTGGTAACTGCCGGAAGCTCTTCCAACTCATCCGAGCCACTGGCAGCAAGAAGTCTGGTGTGAGTGAAACAATCTACGAGGATGACGGGATGCCAATCACTAATATCTCTCGACGTCTTGGACGATGGGCGGAATTTTTCGAAGGGCAGTTCAAATGGCCTGTTGCTCCGGCAACATCAACCAGCTTGTCCTGCCCCCCATGGCCGGTGACGACTGATCCACCAAACGAGGCGGAAGTCCGCAAGGAACTCCAACTCTTGAAACGTTACAAATCACCTGGCCCAGATGACTTACCTCCAGCTCTTTTGAAAGATTATGGTGACCTTCTGACTAAGGAATTGACTGTGTTGTTCGCAAAGGTTTGGAAACAAGAAAGTTTTCCAACATCATGGAATGAGTCGATAGTCGTCCCTTTCTTTAAAAAGGGTTCACGTTGTTCCTGTAATAACTATCGGGGGATAAGTCTACTTCCGATTGCGTACAAACTATTGGCCTCTATCATTCTTCGTAGGTTGTTTAAAACCCGAGAACGATTGACTCGCGAGGAGCAGGCTGGTTTTCGTTCTGGTCGAGGATGCATTGATCACATCTTCACCCTCCGCCAAATGTTAGAACACCGTCATACTTATCGCAGGCCAACAATCGTAGTGTTTCTTGATATCAGGGCGGCCTTCGATTCGTTGGACAGGACTGTTCTCTGGGATTGTCTATTGAAGAAGGGTGTGCCTGAGAAGTTCATTAACATCTTAAAGGCCCTGTACACGAACACCTCAGGCAGAGTGAGGGCATACAACCACCTTTCTCCCTTGTTCCATTCGAGCAGTGGGGTTAGGCAGAGTCGCCTCATTCAACCATTCCTCTCCAACTTTGCTATCGACGACATCCTGGAAACAGCTCTGATGGATGTAAGTAATGGTGGTGTGGATATGTTGCCTGGAGGACGACTTCTCGACCTCGAGTATGCGGATGATATTGTCTTACTGTGCGATAATGCTCAAGCCATGCAATCTGCACTTAATCAGTTGGCAATCAGTGTCCGCAGGTACGGCATGTGCTTTGCACCCTCCAAGCGCAAGGTATCCTACAAGACTGGCAGGATTCTCATCCTGTACTCACCCTAGATAGTGAGCAGATTGAAGTAGTTGAGAAGTTCGTGTATCTAGGTAGCTACATAAATGCTGGTGGGGGCGTGAGTGATGAGATTGATGCACGTATGAAGTACTATCATTTCCAGTGACTGAAGTATAAACCACAAATAAATGTGTCATTAGTGAGTCCGAAAGCCAGTGTCATGTAATCTACAAGATCTTTAGTGTCTAAAAATAAAAGGCTGCCTGTAAACAATCACTTGTATACAATTACTAGCGTGAATAAACGGTCTACATATCGCATGTCTGTTATTAGTCTCCTTGTAAACTATGATTTTATCTCCTGTGAATGTCTGCAATCAGGTATAGCTTTTACAATCCAGTCTCCTGCAGTCAACATGTCGAAATGTTTATTTTGTGTGGAATTATGGGCAAACGTAGGCGAAATTTGAGTCAAGTGCATATAATTATCCGTGGACTTTTTGTAAATAGGTGCGAAAATTAGGCAATCCTAGTAAATTTAAGTGACAAGTACACAACTCAGTATAAATCCAGCTAAAACTCAAACTCATGGTCGCAAAAATGGGAAGTGTCGCACTATTTCCTCAAAAGAGGCCGAAAAACAGACTTTTTGACGCGTTTCCACTTTAGTTTCCCATGAGAAATGCACTTTTGTTATCCCTTATTGGTTTTCTTGGGAGTTTATGGTGTTTTAAAAATCAGTTCAGACGCCTATGAAAAACCCGACACGAACGTCATGTTTAAAACTAGGTAGTACAAATATAACATTTAAGTACTTAGAGGATAACAACTAACCCACAACCTCTAGGTCGACCCTTAGAGATTTCCAATGTCCAATATCTTCATAATGACGCCAAACGGTTCAAATGGTTTTGGACGGAATATAAGAAGCTTACGCCTAGTGGACTTCCGTGTCTAGTAGCAGTAGATCACCAATACGTCCAGGCAGGAACCTAGGTATATTAACGATAACAGGAAAAAAGAAATTTGTAAATCCTAGTAATATGTTATCATTAGTCCTTAAAGAATAGGTCAAGTTCCCTCCTAAAGGACTCCTGGAAAGTCACTTGGACTAGCTCAGTCGACAGCGAATTCCAGCATTTGACAACTCTTAAGGAGTAGATGTGTCTACAGTCCGTTCTGCTATGTTGGGCCTCCAGTTTCTGGGTGTTATGGATCTGTTATACCAACGCCCGGAGCTTACTAAATAAGCTACCGGAACTAGGTGTACAGATTGACTCAACTAGGCCAGACATAATCGCAGTCACAGAAACATGGCTGACGCCGTCTATAGATAGTAGGGAACTTGATTTCGAGGGTTTTACATTAGTAAGGGCCGATAGAATACAAACGCGTAAAGGAGGGGGAGTAGCTCTATTCATTAGGAATGCTATTCCATTCACCATTATCGACAGTGTATCCCATGAGAGTGGGACGTATGAATCAGTTTGCTGCCGCCTGAAATGCAGAAGACAAGAGTTGCTACTTAGTTTGATCTATCGCAGTCCAAGCTGTGAGGCAAACGAGGTCCTGCTAAGCAGTCTCAACACTTCGTCACGAAGTGATCGATGTCTAATCCTAGGGGATTTTAATGCACCCATGGTGGACTGGGGAAATCTGCGGACTGAATCGTCAGTAAATTCCTTCGAACAGGAACTAGTTGATGCGGTAATCACAAGTGCCGTAGTGCAACACGTGAAGGAAGCAACTAGGTACGATCCGGGTTCTGCATCATCCTTACTAGATCTTATATTGACTCATTATGAGGATGATGTTGCAAACCTGGATTACATGCCACCCCTAAGCAAAAGTGATCATGCAGTTTCAAGCTTTGACTTCCATATAATTGTCGATCACGAGTACGCTTCAGCTCAATCCAGACCTAACGTCTGGAAAGCAAACATACCAGATATCATGAAATCAGCATCATTAGTAGATTGGAAATTAGACCCAGAGTCATCAATCGAAACGGCTTGGGACGTATTCCGGAATTTATACTTAAAAGTTACCACCCCCCACATCCCTTGGACTACACCTAAGAGACCGAGAAACTCCCCACCGTGGTTCAGTAGGGAGTTTCGCATCCTTCCCCGTAAAAGAAGGAAAATGTGGGATAGATTTAGGTTACCGGGGACTGATGAGGTAAAATATCAGTATCAAAAATCTCGGGATAGCTGTGCCTCGACCCTCCGTAAGGCCAGAAAGCTGTACGAAGAGGAAATTGTCAAGGAATCCATAGAATGCCCTAAACGCTTGTATTCGTATATAAACCAAAGGGCAAAAAGAAGAAGAAATGTTCCTTCACTATGGGGAGACAGTACTACCACATCACTAGTGGAGGACGACTTTGGCAAAGCTCAAGTATTCTCTAAATACTTTAGCGATGTACACACCATAGAAACACCCTTCTCACCAGTCCATGAAAATCCCTCCACACAAACACTGGACGGTGTAACCATTAAAGAACTCGATGTCTTTGGTCTGCTAGTTAAGCTTGACATAGGTAAATCCACTGGACCCGATGAACTGCATCCTAGGTTACTAAAGGAATTAGATAACTTTGTTGCGAACCCTTTAAGTGTATGTTTTAATCTATCCGTAACCCAGGGTCGTCTACCAAAAGACTGGAAGAACGCCATAGTAAGTCCAGTCTTCAAAACAGGTACAAAACATAAGCCTGAGAATTACCGTCCAATTAGCCTAACTAGTGTGGTTGTCAAAATCTTAGAAAAGATTATTCGGAAGGAACTGTTAAAGTATCTCGATGAAAACCGGATCCTCTCCGAAAAGCAGCATGGTTTTAGAACAGGTTACTCTTGTCTCACAAACTTATTAGTCGCTCGTGAATGCTGGTGCGCTCTTAAGGACCAAAAGTTACCTGTAGACGTAGCTTACATCGATTTCAGCAAAGCTTTCGACAAAGTTCCGCATAACCGGCTGTTACATAAGCTAAGGAATGTCGAGGTTGGAGGCAATCTATTGATGTGGATAAAAGACTTCCTAGTTGGGCGTCAACAAAGAGTAAGGGTGAACTCCAAGTTGTCTAGCTGGGAAACTGTGCTTAGTGGAGTCCCCCAGGGTACAGTTTTGGGGCCATTGTTATTCCTCCTGTACGTAAATGATCTCCCTCGTCTACTATCGTCATCGGTCTTACTCTATGCTGATGATGTCAAGATATGGAGAGCGATACAAAGCAAGAGCGATAGCTTAGAACTTCAAAATGACCTGGAGAGATTATCTGAATGGTCCCAAACCTGGCAATTGCCGATAAACACTTCCAAGTGTATTGTGATGCATATTGGCCACCAGGGTAGAGATACATACACGATGAATAACACTGAGTTACCTATTGTTCAGGCACACAACGACTTAGGCGTCATCGTCAGTCAAGACTTAAAGACTACTGCACACTGCCGTGCAATAGCCGCCAAAGGTTTTAGGACTTTATGGTCCATACGCAGGGCTTTTAGGCATCTTGACGCTAAAACGTTTTTGACTTTGCATACAGTGTTCGTACGCCCTAAACTTGAGTACTGTATACAAGCAGCTAACCCCTGCCTAAAAAAGACAGTGAACTCTTGGAAAGGGTTCAGAGAACAGCAACTAGGCTGATTCCCGGAATAGCGAAGCTCCCGTATGGTACTAGACTGACCAAGCTAAACCTATTTCCGCTGTCATATAGAAGAATCAGAGGTGATTTGATTATAGTTTTCAAATTGCTTAATGACAAATTTGGACCTGATATGCCCTCATTTTTCTTGTCTTCCAAAACAGAAAATCTACGAGGACACTCCAAAAAAGTTCACAAGCCCAGAACGAATTACTTGTCAGCTGACTACCGACTTTCCCATCGAATAATCAACGAGTGGAATTCATTACCTCAGCACGTGGTTGAGGCTCCATCCGTCGACTCCTTCAAAAGGAAGTTGGATCAGCTGAGAGACCATCATTGCCAGGACTAACACAGGCCATCAAGCCTCCTGTCCTTTCCAAACTGAAACTGAATCTTAGGTTAGTATTGTGACTAAGCTTAAGTAGATGTTTAAGGGGATGACCAGAAGTGATAGGGATACTGGAAGTTATAAGCAAGTCACCTCTCAGACGCCTATACTCTAAAGGGTAAAGGTTAAATGATTGGAGGCGCTCTTCATAAGGTTTGAAGTTGAGTCCCAGAACTGACTTCGTAGCTCGAGGTTGGATACGTGCCAGAATGTCCTTATCCTTTTAGAGGGTAGGAGGAACTATTATGTTTCCGTACTCCAAATAGGGAAGAATGAAACTGTTGAAGATTATGAGGAAAGTTCTACCGTCAAACTGGCCAAAAATGCGCTTCAATGTTGCCAGTGCAAGGTTTGCTTGAAAGGAGTTGTCACAGTTAGTGTACGACTTCAAATCGTAGGGTACCAACACTCCTAAATCTTTTTCGACTTGAGATACTTCTAGAGAGGAGTTTCCTAAGTTTTAACTATAGTCTGAAACATGTCTCAGATGGATTAATTTACGTTTCGCAGTGTTAAAGGTAAGTCTGTTGTCGTCTGCCGAACTTTGAAGTTAAGTCAGATCCTCCTGAAGTGCCAGTACATCCTCTTGGTTGCGTATCTCTCTCCAAAGTTTTACATCGTCGGCAAAAAGCAATAAATCAGACAATACTTGTTGTGGAAGATCGTTTATATAAATCAAGAAGCGAAGAGGTCCTAGTATTGAGCCCTGGGGGACCCCATCACATATCAGGGACTCCATAATTTTAGAGAGTATAGGGAGAAGGGCCACCAGTCGGTAGCTTGAGGGTTCGCTGCGTCGACCTCCTTTGAAAATTGATGTAATATGAGCCAGCTTCCGAATTTCCGGTAGTTTTCCTCGGCTTAGAGAGTGTGAAAACATCACGCTATGCGGTGTTGCCAGGATTGAAGCTGCTTCCCCCAGTATAGCAGAGTGAACCATATCCGGACTGGGCGAAGTGTCTTTTCCCAGGTGCTGTAGTTTGCGGAACACCAGGTCAGCGGCCAGGTTCACTTCGGAAAGTCCTGTCCAGTCGCAGGTGAATCTTTCATCAGTGTAGTTGATGTGGGTCGGTTGAAATGTACGAGAGTATTGTTCAGCCGAAAGATTTGTGGCATCCCAGTCGTGATTGGTCAGACCATTAGGACCTAGCAGTTGTAAAGCTCCAGTTTTGGCTTGTCGAAGGGAAGCCGCGTAACGGAATAAGCTTTTTGGATTGGAGACAGAACTATCGATAAGCTTGGTATGGTACTATCTTCTCTTATCGCCTTTAAGAATATATTCCTTATACGTTTGCATTGCCTGTATGCGCCGTTTTTATCGGTTCGTTTATATTCGGCCCAACAGTGTCTTTTGCCGCTTAGCAAAAGAAGAGTGCGGTTCTTGATGACTGTAGGTTGTTTGTAGCTTTTTGGGATCGTTTGAGGAATTGAATGCTTAGTAACACATAAGAGCGTGTACAGTAAGAAATCCCAATGAGAATCGACTTCAAGATGAGGGTGAACATCCCAATCCACCTGTTGTAGATAGTCGTGTACAGCTAATACATCCAACCATTTGAAATTCCAGCGCCTGTTGTTGGTGGGATATCTTGGCTCAATTTTGTTGACAAAACTGAAGGATATAATGGCGTGGTCGCTTTCCCCAGGGGAGACAGAATTGAGAGGTCATCGACTAGGAATTCTTCATTTGTGGATATCCAGTATAAGCGCGACGGCGTCTGACTGTTTCTCCAAGTAACATACCTGTTATATTTTTTCTCGAAAATCGACATCTGATAATGTAAACACATCTTTATAAGGTTGCAAATTTCAGAGATTTCGGGGAAT